ACACACACACACACACACACACACACACACACACACACACACACACACACACACACATACACACACAAGAGGACACAGACACACACACGAACCCCAGCTTGGCCTGTTTTTTTTTTTTTGATTTGTTTTAAATTTTTGCATCTTCATTTTTCTTAAACACCTAATTTCCCAACAAAAAAACGAAAATCATTTCAAAACAAAATACAGCACAACTCAAGGACCATATCCCTCATGATAAAAAATGCCAAAAAAAAAATCATGCTTTTCTTTTTATTTATTTTTAAATATTTTATTTCAATCAAATTTCGTTTTTTATTTTTTAAAAATCTTAAACGAAGTCGGATTCCAAAATAAAAAACATAGGATTGTAGGGTTTTCCAAGCCCTAAACCCCTATATTTTTTGTTTTGTTTTTTTACGTTTTTTTTTTTTGTGGGGGGGGGGATATTAAAAAAATAGGTCGCGGACTTGGCGTCATCGACTGCGGCCGCGGCCGACTTTTTCGGCCGCAGCGGCCGAAATGCCCGTGGCCTAGGCCGCAGGTGTCACATAGGTCCTCTTCATCGAGTCCAATTCTCGGATCCTTCCTCAAATGATCAAAGTCCCCCCGAGCTCGAATCTCTGCTATGTCCATGCGTGCTTGGTCAATCTTTATATACGTGATGACTTCCTCCTCACATAAGGCCTTGTGATCGACCTTCTTCGCTATCCGCAATTCCTTCCATCGTTTATGAACCAACCGATCCAACATCGCCACATCCTTTGAAGCGGTGGTCTGCTCATCACCTTCCCCCGTCTCGTCTTTTTCGCCAGAATCCAGGTTCTGGCCCTCCGCCTCGCTCAGACTGCGGCTCAGTGACATCCGGAGGTTTCGCGGAGTCGTTCTTCTGGTGAGCGTGGGACGCTTCGATCTCGGGACCGGGGTCAGCTTCTTCATAAGGCGCTGCTTGAAAAACTCAGCTTCACTCTGGGCCATATGCTTACCTTCCAGCGCATCCTTGTAGGCTTTACGTAATGTCTCCATGTCTTTAGGAGTGTACATGGTCGTAGTTGTTGGGTCCACCCTAACTTTGTCCTTAGGTGGCTCAGTAGGCGGACTCTTCTCGGTGACCGTCTCCATAGGCCGCTTGCCAGCGCTCTTAATGGAGCGAACATCCTGCAACAGATCATCGAAACGCTTCTCCGGATGGGTACTCGCATGTTTGAGCTCCACCAGTTCCTCATTTTTCTTCTCCAGTAGCGACTGAAGTGAATGTAGTTTTTCCACCTCCTTCCTAAGGCTATCGAGTCCCGCCTCCCAAGGCTTGCCTTCCTCGATCTTCTTCCCCTTTGCCTTCAACTCCGCAATCTCTTGCTTTAGTTTTTTCTGCTCCTGCCTCCTCATCAAGACTTTTTTCTCCTTCCTTAGCCGATCGACGTCTTCTTGCATGTTATCGCCAGTATTCTTCGTCTTCAGCTCTTCCAGCTCACGACGTAACTTGGTGATCTCTTGTTCTTTGGGATCCGTATGCGTCGGAAGATCGACCTTCCTGCCAAGCACTGACTCACAAACAAGCCTCATGGTACTATTTTTCACCTCTTCTCCCATCCGGCTAATAAATGCATCCTTATCCTTTTTTCTCCAGCATCACCTTCTCCTCTGCTTCCTTGCGTCTCTTCTCTTCCTCCTGTCTCTGACGATCTCTCTTCTCCTCTACCTGATCGTGAAATCTTCCTTGCGTCCGAGTCTCTTCTCTTCCTCCTATCTCTGGCGATCTCTCTTCTCCTCTTCTCTACTCCTTACTGTGAAACCTCGCATTCATTGAACGCGGGTTTTCCGTTCAGAAATTGAACGGAATGTACGCGCGTTCAATGAACGGGACCGAACGCGGAGTTCAATTCCGCGCGGGAAAAAAAAAAAAAAAAAAAAAAAAAAAAAAAAAAAAAAAAAAAAAAAAAAAAAAAAAAAAAAAAAAAAAAAAAAAGGAAAAAAAAAAAAAAAAAAAAAAAAAAAAAAAAAAAAAAAAAAAAAAAAAAAAAAAAAAAATCCGAAAACAAAATATGTTATGAAGAAAAATAAAATAAACAACATTTGCCTGAGCATTACATCTAAATTCGTTACCAAATTGGAAAAAAAAAAATAGAAAACAGAAAAGTAAAAAAAGTAAAAAAAGAATTGAAATTGGTGAGCGAACACGATTTGACACTGCCATCTTTGGCGATTTTTAGTTTTTTGTTTCCTTAGCAAAATGACTCCAAAATTGAGAGGCATGTACCTCACATCATACAGAACTCATAAAAAAAAAATCAGAAAAAAAAGTTATTTTTAGGCATTAAAATGATTTTTAAAAAAATAAAAAAAAAATAAAAAAATAATTGAACGCCATTCAATTTTGAACGCGAACGCGCAATCCACGTTCAAACGCACATTTGAACGCGAACGCACGTTCACGGCGTTCAAACGGTTACACAGACTCCTTATCAATCTTCTCATCACGTCCTGCATCTGTGTAGTTCCCTCTTGCAAACCTATTCAAGTTGTTGTTATTGTACCCACCATATCTATTGTGGATTCCCCTGCCATAGCCTTACCCACTGCCTCCACTATTGTAACTGCCGCCGCTGTAGCGATTGGATGAAGTGGCTGCCGCCAGGTTTCCTTGGTATGGCACGATCGCGTTGGAGGTTGGCGTCGGAAGTATACCATTCACCTCCGCATGAGAACTCGTTCTAGATGATGAACCTGCGACAAGCTCAGCTGCATTCGGAATATCGCGTAGCTGGCACTCCCTCACAAAGTGACCAGGCAGCTTGCAGTGATGACATACTCGTGGATTATACATCCTCCTGGTAGATACCAAACCAAAAATGGACTAAGCCGTTCACCACCGTAACAACCGACGGGTAATCTCACTTAACCCGCCTCACCAGCGCAAAAAGAAGAATCGAGACGAACGAGAAAGAAGGAAGGAACGTGTGAAGCGTAATCACGCAGCCGGGTAGTAAAGCGATATATATACGTGAGCATCGCAGTAGTAAAGCGATATATATAGCACGCACGTACAGCAAAGACGAACGTTAGGACACATGCATCACACAGAAGAAGTGGGGGAGGAGATTGGACGAACGTGAGATATAACCCTGAGCGCAGCGGCTCTTAAAACATACAACGAAGAGCCAACACGCTGATGAACGAAGGTAGGTGACACCCCATGGATGCCACCATAGTCAAAAGTATCCGCTGGCGAAACTCGTGTTTCTGCCGGCTCGCCAGTAACCGGCTCCTCAAGGGAATGTGCAGGGTACCTAGAGAGTTGAGAAACCTATGCTATATACTTGAACAATAACCCTGATCATCTAGTCCTACTGCACTGGGACGACCCCAGTACGGTGAAGGGTTGGATGGGACCAAAACGGGGAAAAGAGAGAAAGGGGACCGGCTGGTAAGCAATAGTCATGGTAGAGACCCTTGGATCAACAGACATTCGAAAAAGAAACCTTACCGCTTAGCCTACCAGTGTACCCAACGAGTAAAGCATCTCACCCATGGTTCCCATGACCTGCCCATCTGGGGTCCTGTCCCTTCATCATGTTGATTTCCCAGATTCTATCGTTAGTATGTAAGTGCTGAAGATGTGAGCAGGAGTTCCCAGGATGACGACAGGTCGAGTGTAGAACACTCCCCACGCCACTCAAGGCATGATTGACCTTTTTTTTTTTTTTTTTTTTACCCTGCATCACTGTTTCCTGCGCTTGAAGAGCAACCACTTTCAGAAAATAAACTTCAGTGTGTCCCGGTAGGCAGAATGCCAAGCCCTTCCTAATATCAACTAAGTGTACTCCGTGGTTCATCTGCATATTTGGCTCTCACTCAAAATATATTGAGTCTAAAAGCAACCTTATATGTAACCGTTCACAGGCACTGTGGCCAAAGAGAATCAAATTAAGTGAGGAAAAGGAGGGATCACAAACAGCACATGAGGTAAATGCACAAAGGATGAAAGGAAGACGATCTGACAGTTACATTCTAGTACCTCAGCACTCCGGTGCAATCACTCTACTAGATGCGTGAGCAAAGGCCTGCTGCATTACCGAAACTAACCTGAACTGTGCCTACATGCATACAAGATGTGCAGAAAATGACTTACAGAATTACTAAGTTAAAAGCATAGCTGGACGCATCACAGCGCCACTCCTGATAGCGCCGGGGCGCAGGGCGCTCTATTCCCTCCATTCAAACTGCCTTGTGTTGAAGATGGGTCAAACAAGACCTGCTGAAGCCCTTGGACATGCCGAAGCACTGCCACCGCAGCCGCACGCACTCCCACTGCGTCCAATTGTGCCGCTCCGCCTTCCATGCTTTTCCTAGAAAATTTGTACCCGCCCTCAATGCATCCGGCCAGCATTCTGGGACCAGTACATCTGGAATGTCCAAGATAAGGCAACCTCAATACTGTCGAGGCAGTCGAGATGGCGTGTCATGAAACAAAGCCACACGACCTTTGAATGGTGAGAACGGAGGCCCCCCTTTCCAGCTAAAGGTTTAAGGGGAGGACGGCTCCTCTGGTGTTACCTGCGCCTGCAACAGGCTGCACGGGCCATTTTCAGGCCCGTGTCATTTTCAGCCTGAAAGCCTGAAAACGAGGGCCTACAGACCCCGTGTTGTTTTCAGGCCAAAAGCCTGAAAACAAGGGCCTACAGGCCCCGTGTCATTTTCAGCCTGAAAGCCTGAAAACGAGGGCCTACAGACCCCGTGTTGTTTTCAGGCCAAAAGCCTGAAAACAAGGACCTACAGGCCCCGTGTCAGTTTCAGCCTGAAAGCCTGAAAACAAGGGCCTACAGGCCCCGTGTCAGTTTCAGCCTGAAAGCCTGAAAACAAGGGCCTACAGGCCCCGTGTCAGTTTCAGCCTGAAAGCTTGAAAACAAGGGCCTACAGGCCC